TCGCCTAGACGCCAGGCTGCACAGGCATCGCAGGCTAATGGTGACCAGGAGCTGCCTCCATGCCCTGGCTCCTTGGCGAGACGGGACCCTTTTGTCCAGTGGTGTTCCAATGGGGCTAGTAGTGTGTCGAAGGGAGGTGGTCACCACGGATGCCAGCCTCATGAGCTGGGGTGCCGTGTGGCAACACAGAGCTGTTCGGGGTCTCTGGGACCCAAGGGAGCGCACCGAACACATAAATGTGCTGGAGCTGCGGGCTGTGCACATGGCCCTCAGGTGCCTTCTGCCCCACCTAGAGGGAAGGAACGTGCTGATTCGGACAGACAACACCTCTGTTGTTTATCATATAAACCACCAAGGTGGCACCAGGTCAGCACGTCTCTTGAAGGTGTCGAGGGATCTCCTGGAATGGGCGTATCCCCGTCTGTGTACCCTGCGCGCAGCGTATCTGCCAGGACGGCAGAACCAGGTTGCGGACTCTCTATCCCGCCAGGCACCTGCTCCGGGAGAGTGGTCTCTTCACCCCGACGTAGTGCGCATAATCTGGAACCTCTTTGGGCAGGCAGAGGTAGATCTGTTCGCCACAGAGGAGTCGACCCATTGCCCCCTATGGTATTCCCTAACCGGGATGGCGGGCGCACTGGGCCAGGATGCACTGGCTCATCCATGGCCGCAGGTTCTCCTGTATGCCTTTCCACCCCTCTCACTGGTTTGGCCGACTCTACGGAGGGTTCTCGAGCAGGGCCACAGAGTGTTGCTGGTAGCTCCGTTCTGGCCAGCGCGGCCGTGGTTCCCGCTGCTTTGGAGTCTGTGTCACGGTACTCCATGGCGTCTTCCAGCAAGGAGGGATCTGCTGTCTCAGTTGGGGGGACAGATATGGCACCCCAACCCTCAACGTCTCCAGCTGTGGGCATGGCCCCTGGGAGGCTGACTGGGTGTTCAGACACCGTGAGACACACCGTATTGAGTGCTAGGGCTTCCTCCACTCGGCTGCAGTATGCTAACAGATGGCGCCTCTTTTCTCAGTGGTGCTCTGCCCACAATGAGAACCCGCTTTCCTGCTCGGTGCCCACTATTTTGGAGTTCCTCCAGTCTCTCCTTGATAAGGGCCGCTCTCCTTCGACCCTTAAAGTGTATGTTGCAGCAATTTCATGTCTTCACCGAACTGTTGACAACCGTACAGTGGGGCGCCATGAACTGGTTTCACTTTTTCTGCGTGGTGCTCGTAGGTTGTGCCAGCGGCCAGCCCCACGAGCCCCAGATTGGGATCTGCCATTGGTTCTCACAGCTCTGTGCCACCCTCCATTCGAGCCTTTGGCACAAGCAGAACTCAAGTGGCTTTCCTGCAAGGCTGCTTTCCTGATGGCTATCGTCTCAGCTAAGAGAGTCAGCGAGCTACATGCTCTTTCTGTCAGCCCTAGGTGTATCAGGTGGAATCCAGATGGCTCTGGTGTTACCCTGTGGCCTAATACTGCGTTTGTGCCTAAGGTGTTGTCTCCTTTTCACCGTAACCAGCCATTGCGGCTCGCTCGGTTTCAGCCTCAATCTGGTACAACTGAGAATGAGTCGGAGTTGTTGTGCCCAGTAAGAGCGTTGGAGGCATACATTGCAGCCACCGCCAATCTGAGACGCTCGGACCAGCTTTTCCTATGCTATGGGGGTCCAAGGTTAGGCTGTCCTGTTTCTAAACAGCGTCTGTCCCATTGGATTGTGAGTGTCATCTGCCACGCCTACGCTGCAGGTCACTGCTCCCTGCCAGTCGGTGTGAGAGCACATTCCACCAGGAGCGTCACCGCTTCCTGGGCTGCTTTGAGAGGGGTTCCGCTGGAAGCTATATGTGCTGCTGCTTCATGGGCTTCCCCAACCACCTTCACCAGGTTCTACAGTGTCAATGTGGCTGCCCCTCATCCCCTGGGTCAGGTCCTTTTACAAGGTTCTGCTGGGCCTCCTCTGTGAGGTATGTGCTCAGGATTCCTTGTGACATCGTTGGCATTAGTCATTCAGTGCTTTCAGCACCGCCCTCTGGCGGTCAGTAGGGATGAAATAGAACGAAAGTTACGTATGTAACTACTGTTCTATGAATCCCGGATGACCGCCAGAGCTTCTCTGTCACTCAGAATCCTTGCTTTTGCGAGAAGATTCTGTAGGAGCAGAGCAAAGGATGACACCAGGCTATATAGCTTCTGAGTGGTCATCCGGTGTCACAGGTGTGACTCTGTTGGTATAATTACTCGAACTGCGCATGCCCGAAGGGAACATTCAGTGCTTTCAGCACCGCCCTCTGGCGGTCATCTGGGATTCATAGAACCGTAGTTACATACGTAACTTTCGTTTTATGCTTTCCTCTTTTTTTCTGTTTTTCCTCTCCTGTTCTACCATTGCAGTGTCCATATAATCTGTAAAACTCCCTGCATAATTTTAATAAAGCAATTTATATGCATAAAACAAGCGGAACACTATGGCGATAGCCGTACTGCTCCACTTGTGAAAGTAAAATCTGTTGGGCTCTTTTTTGGCATTCAGACAATCATTCTTATTGCCATATTGCCAGACAGGACACTGTTAAAAAAAAAAAAAAAAAGATAACAGAAGTGGTTAAACTACCTTCCCATAATCATGCAAATGTCCTTCTGTGACTATAAAAGCAGTTTTTAAAACATCCAACCGAAAATCAGTAGGCTATTTACATTTTAACTTGATCTTTCTTAAAGATTCCTGACAGTTGTTCAATAAATAATTAAAAACTCCAAATTAGTACAACAGCCATACCATGAAAAGTGCACAAACTGTATGTTAGCGGCTGTGTGTTGTAGAAGAGCAGGAAGATTAATGACTATTAAAAAACAAATAAAAGGATTAAATGTTTCAAAGGGAGTGAATCAGAGAACTTTTTGCATTCCAGATTTAAGACATCCCTTTGGGTTATTTAAATCATTATTCAACTAAACAGCCCCTTTCACTTTATTTTGAAAATTTACTTTCATTTTATATGTGGGGACATTTTACAGGTACAGAAAAGGGGAATGCTTTCTCTATAGCTTTTGAAAGCTACGGCGTTTTTTCAGTGTTCACTACAAAAAATCGTGTTGTGGTTCTTTTTTAGCAAATGTAGGGGTTTAAATATGAAGCTCTGACCTGGAGAAAAAAAAAAACATCAAAGAAAAGCATTGCTTCATGTCACCTTCCATGTTTTTCTCCATCTGTCTATCAGTGATTTGGCTCATTTAGGCAAACAGACTTATCGGCTGTTGTCGAGGGCCAGGTGGACGGCTGAATATCTGCTATGAAGTCATCCGTTACAAAGGAAACTTAGAGGGAAAAAGCCCCTCGATCACGCGCCACACACAGCAATCAAGGAGCAGTGTTTACTTGATCGCTCAGTGCACTCACATAAATGCAGATACATCGGAGGGTATTAACTTTCCATCTAGTTCTTGTATAATATTGTGCCGGGGCGACCAAGATGTTCCCCAGCTGTTTTTCTTTTCCTTGCACTTCTACACATACAAGCTGTCATCCTGATGCAGAGAGTTGCTCTCTGGTCCTCTTTTTCTTCCCATCCTCCTGCAGCCTTTTAACTTATTTTCCCACCACTCTTACCTCAAACCCATCGTTTGATCTAGCCTGCTCAGCAGCAGGAAACAAATCGCCGTTACAAATAATTTCTAGCTGGCTTTTTGAGTGCAGAACAGAACCTGGTTCAGATGTCAGCCCGATTACAGGGACTGAAAATTTATGCAAGCTTTGAATTAAGATGTTAAAACAAACATCTGCTTTGTAAGTTTAAATCGTAAAGCTCTGAAATTTATTTCAAAATGAAACTGAAACTTTGACCCCTTGCAGAGGATCAACACCTTATGAACATTTTCTGTGAGAGCTGTGGAGATGTTTGATGTGGTTCTAGGTGATAAAAAATACAGAAACCTTTAAATATCTCCAGCAGAATCAATCAGGAAGGAGCCAAAGGTTTTCTGATAGATCCACAGCTCAGATTCTTCAACTGCTGAGAGAAAGCCACTAGAAGATCCTGCTGAAGTGTCCAACAGCGATGTGGTGAAACAGAGTAGACCTTAACCCTCTCTCTTCTCAGTTACACACAGCTTTTTTATTGATCTATCCTACAAGCTTATGGGGATGGATAAAATAAATCTTTGCAGCGGTATGAATACTTTTTTAATGCATTTGAATTCCAAGCATTGGGTAAGAGGACCCTCATGCTGGTAGGTTCCCTCACTTTCTCCTACTCAGCCCAACTTAGACATCTGCCCACAACATGGACCAGCTCTCTGCACCGCTTTGTTTTTCTGTTTTGGTTTCGCAACGCCTTTAATCAACTTGAGAAGACTATTTGCAGCCGGCTAGGTTACATGATGGCCCCTCTTTTGTTCGGCCCGTCTGTTTTTTGGCGCTTTCTGAGCTAATCTGGCTGATCTCTGTGGTCATTTCAGCCTTGCGTTCTCAACTCTCAACCAACATCTTTCATGTAAATCCCTCGTAGTCCAGCGTCAGAGACTAACACGGCTATTATCCCTTAGAGTAGATAAAATTCAGGAACCACGGCTTAACGCTGACACAGCAGATCAATGCAACTCTGTGGAGTAGAAACGTTAATTCTGAGAAACAGAACATGCCTCAGCAAGGAACGCACCATTGTTTTCTGCGGCCAACCTGACCTTAACCCCCCCCCACAGTGCCGTATCTGTTTCAGTGTGCATAGTAACGCAGTGTGGGTGAAAGCTGCGTGTTTTAGAGAGCTTTGTGGCTGCTGACTTAAGAAAAACAGACGAGGCTTGAATTAGAGTTGATATTTCTTTTTTTTTTTCTCCATTTAGGTAAACCACAGCTATCAAGCCAAACAGGGGTTGGGGTCCACCACAGTTAACATAGAAGACCCTTGCCCAAATGATAGGTGTGTATCGCCTTCACCCAAAGCTCTGCATTTATGGTGCAACCTTAGTGTGGTGAGGTGAGCAGAGTTCATCCAAATTGGGGGATGCTCTTACCGCCTCTCCAGCAGGGCCACGGGGCCCGTCCTTCCCGGTGTTCCCTGGGGGGCCACGGGGCCCGGGAGGACCCGGTGGACCAGGAGGCCCGGCAGGTCCAGCTTGGCCTTGATCACCCTAAAGAATATGACAATAATAAGAGGGAGAATGGAAAAGAAAATATTAGATTGTTTTAGTTTTTGATTAAGGGAACAATAAAGCAACACTTTCACAAGTCAAACCAAGTCAAATTTCGGCAAACAGTCAATGTTTGAAGCATGATAGAGAAAAAAATTAGTAAAGCATTAACTGTAGCCACTATTTTAAAAGAGGTGCATTTAATGTGTTTGTCCAGGTGGTGGCAGCAGACACGGATCAATACCTAACTCTATGGGTTAAATGTAAATGTTTTATCCTAAATAAATGACACCTATATGAGAATGTAAAAAGCTCTGAAATAAATCCAGAATCAAACAAAGCCTCATATAGAAACACTGGATTAAGTTTTCTAAAAGCTATAAAGACATATTTTAACCTGCTCCTGTTTTAGGACTCCCAACAGTCCACTGAAGCCTTGAGAAAGATTGAGTACAGAGTTAAGGAAAATGAAAGTGTGACAACGTATCATTGACTTTTTTGTGTTCAGTAAAATAAATGTTTTGTTATAACATGCTTTGTCATGCAAACAGCTGATCAACGGTTTAATTTTCAGAGACATATATTTAATGTCAATGTTAGAGCCTACTTATAAGCACTGGAGCCGCATGTCTGCTCATTCAGTTATAATCCTGGCAAAACAGTTATTATTCTTCGTAAGAAAGGCTATCATTTTACAATAATTTTTAAGACTCATAAAACATTATAATAAAACAGAGTTTTAAGGCTCCTTTTGTAATAAAATGAAAAAATAAAAAGTGTAGAACGTTACACTACACAGTGTCTTGAGTCAGAAGCTTCTCCAGAGTTGCAGTAAGACAGACCACTACAGCAGATCATTATCTCTGCAAAAACTCTGTGAAGAAACCCCTGTAATGTCAGTTATATAATTTAATTTCCATTTGGGATGAATAATGTATTCCTGAACTGAAAATTCATGCAACTAAATGCTGATTCCAGCTAACTTGTCATCTTTTCTTGAATCGAAGTGAGATTTGTCTAAGTGGAGTCAGAAATAAAGGAAAGTCTTAACTTCGGCCCAGAAAACCGAAAAATTCAGTTCTCTCCCAGTATGTTGGCAAAGCCAACAATCTTGTCCAGCCTGTTTCCACTCATTCCCTTTTTTTCCTTGCTGTAATATTGGATATAATAAGGCTCATAAAAGTAGATGTTTTCTTGGATAAAATTTCTGCCTTATGAAGAAGAACACAAGCTGCTTTCATTAGATACCATGTTTTCTTGTCTTCCCCATTTTTGAGTAGAAACAGGGATCTTGGTTACCTTTATCACCAAGATTTCTTTAAGTTTCTTTTCACGATAATCCCGTTTATAGACAACGTGAGTGAAAAGGAAAGATGAATATTGTGTTTAAGACGCTGTTTGGGGGAAAGAAATATACTAAAAAGAGGTTCTTGTGCTTTTTCTTCTCCAAAATTATAATATTGTGTAATAACTTATACATTTTATCTTATATATATATATATATATATGCTAAAATTACCCAATGCGTTACCCAATTTATTATATTAAAATCTGCATTATCCGCTCTAGATAGAATACATTGAAAAGCAAGAAATTTAGTTTTAATAACAGACTCTGAAGTAAATAATTACTATGTATCTGAAAACATTTGATATGTTTTGTATACTTTCCTGTATAATGTGAATCTTCCTTCACTAAGTGTGTCTGCTGCACCAGCTGAGAGAACATAGGAACTGCAGGAAGCACTGTTCTGCAAACTAACAGGTTATTGCAGAATACAGGAGAACTGCAGTCTGGTGTCAACTGTCTGTTGTATTTCTGTTTTGATAGCAATCCTGATTCAGAATGATTTTGTAAAATCCAATCAAAAAAGAGAAATCCCCGTAGATTTCATGGACGTTGAGATTATTCACCAAATTTAGGCAGTACTAGGGTGTTGCTTCAATAGAAGCAGACTGGAACTGCGACTTTACGGTAAGGATGAATCTGCTCAGATGTTCTCCAGTGAGTCAGATTGGTTTTTAGTCGCAGTAAAACACCCAGACTGACTAATCCAATTTTTGTTTTAAGCTTGTTTGTCATGGTAACATTTTAACAAACAGCTTTGTTTACTGAAAGAAAGTTGTTTTCGCATTTGTTTCCGATTTAATACATGTAAAGAACCAAATCAGACGCATATTTAAATTTGTACGCAGAACTGAAAACCATTAATGTTCCGAATATACCCCAAAATTACAGTGGGGACACTTTCTCTGCACGCTCCCACCTCTGCTGGCATCTGGAGGATTATGGTTTGCTTTGTTGAGGAAAGTCAAATGGGGATTCAATCCATGCAGATTGGAAAAAAAAAATATTTTCAGAGTGATTATCATCATTATATTCATTTTGCAGCTCTCCGAAAAAATAAAGAAAAATGAAGTCACATACATTTTAAATGAATGTGCATTGAAATGTTTAGAAATATGAGGAAAAATTAGCAAATCCACTTTTTGTAGGTAACTAAAACAGACGCTAAAAAGCTTTTTTTCGTCTTTTAAAAAATAAAAAATAAAATCATATATACATATATTTCCTGACCGCATCTAAAGCCTGTTACTAATCATCACGGGTTCATTAATAATCCAAACACAAACATATCTGCTTCATCTTCAAGTTAAAGGAAACAGTACAGTCGAAACGATAAGGAAATCAAACAAGCATGAACCTATTTTTCATGTAGCAGAACAAAAAGAAAGAAAAATAAAAACAATTAGAATAAGAGCATACAAAGTGTTTAAAAGGAGATGAAAGTGTTATAGGAGGAAGCACATGCCTTTTAGTTGAGGTCTACCTTCATAAAGCGTCTCTGAAAGGTGCTGGACTGCTCTCCAGCGAGAAAGCCGTGATCATATCGAGGGAAAACCATCTAAGATGCAACAGATGTGCAGTCAAAGAGAAAGAGGGAGAGGAGAAGAAATCATAGCGGTAAATAAGAAGAGAAAAAGGATATTTGTGTTAAACTGTGAGTTCAGGAGTAAAGGAGCAGGTCGCTGCAGGAGAAAAGAGAGATGCTGAAGATTAGCAGACTACAGAAGTAAGAAAGAGCTGAAGGTTGTGGTCCTCTTTCTGCAGACAGTGACAGATGTGCAGCCACAGAGAGGTGGCTGCTGGAAGGATTGCGGAGCATTTCTGTGGGGGTAACAAACCTTGACAGCGATCTGATTACTGTGCAGACCTGCGTATGTGGTGTAGTTAGGAGGACCCTGAGGAGAGAAGCCCAACATTGAACAAAAACTCACAAACCAATCTTGAATCATCCTGCAGATAGATCCGTACCAGTTGCTGCTTATTTTTATAGTTAAAGATCTGAAAAGTATGTCAGCCAAATCATTCTGCCCTCATCAGTCAAAAATATAAAAGCAACTTTTGCTGTAAGAGTTCTCACTTATTCCTCTAATGACTTTAGAGTCCAAAATTTAAGCCATTTTTTATGCATGATTCTCCCTCTACCTGGTTTTACCTTGAGGTTTTACCTCGTGTTAAAAATACAGGTGCTGGTCATAAAATTAGAATATCATGAAAAAGTAGATTGATTTCAGTAATTCCATTTAAAAAGTGAAACTTATATATTATATTCATACATTACATACAAACTCATATATTTCAGATGTTTATTTTGTTTAATTTTGATGATTACAAATGACAACAAATGAAAATCTCAAATTCATCATATCAGAAAATTAGAATATTGTGAAAAGGTTCAAAATTGATGGCCCCTGGTGCCACACTCTAATCAGCTAATTAACTCAAACCACCTGCAAAAGCCTTTAAATGGTCTTTCAGTCTAGTTCTATAGGCTACACAATCATGGGGAAGACTGCTGACTTGACAGTTGTCCAAAAGACGACCATCGACACCTTGCACAAGGAGGGCAAGACACAAAAGGTCATCGCTAAAGAGGCTGGCTGTTCACAGAGCTCAGTGTCCAAGCACATTAATAGAGAGGCGAAGGGAAGGAAAAGATGTGGTCGAAAAAAGTGTACAAGCAAGAGAGATAACCGCATCCTGGAGAGGATTGTGAAACAAAACCCCTTCAAAAATGTGGGGGAGATTCACAAAGAGTGGACTGCAGCTGGAGTGAGTGCTTCAAGAACCACCACACACAGACGTATGAAAGACATGGGTTTCTGCTGTCGCATTCCTTGTGTCAAGCCACTCTTGAACCACAGACAGCGTCAGAAGCGTCTTGCCTGGGCTAAAGAGAAACAGGACTGGACTGCTGGTGAGTGGTCCAAAGTCATGTTCTCTGATGAAAGTAAATTTTGCATTTCCTTTGGAAATCAAGGTCCCAGAGTCTGGAGGAAAAGAAGAGAGGCACTTCATCCACGTTGCTTGAAGTCCAGTGTAAAGTTTCCACAGTCAGTGATGGTTTGGGGTGCCATGTCATCTGCTGGTGTTGGTCCATTGTGTTTTCTGAGGTCCAGGGTCAACGCAGCCACATACCAGGAAGTTTTAGAGCATTTCATGCTTCCTGCAGCTGACCAACTTTTTGGAGATGCAGATTTCATTTTCCAACAGGACTTGGCACCTGCACACAGTGCCAAAGCTACCAGTACCTGGTTGAAGGACCATGGTATCCCTGTTCTTAATTGGCCAGCAAACTCTCCTGACCTTAACCCCATAGAAAATCTATGGGGTATTGTGAAGAAGAAGATGCAATACACCAGACCCAACAATTCAGAAGAGCTAAAAGCCACTATTAGAGCAACCTGGGCTATCATAACACCTGAGCAGTGCCACAGACTGATCGACTCCATGCCACGCCGCATTGCTGCAGTAATACAGGCCAAAGGAGGCCCAACTAAATACTGAGTGCTGTACATGCTCATACTTTTCATGTTCATACTTTTCAGTTGGCCAACATTTCTATAAATCCTTTGTTTTTATTGGTCTTCAGTAATATTCTAATTTTCTGATATGATGAATTTGAGATTTTCATTTGTTGTCATTTGTAATCATCAAAATTAAACAAAATAAACATCTGAAATATATGAGTTTGTATGTAATGTATGAATATAATATACAAGTTTCACTTTTTAAATGGAATTACTGAAATCAATCTACTTTTTCATGATATTCTAATTTTATGACCAGCACCTGTAGTGTGCATTGTTTTCCAATTAGAGGGACAGACCAAAATTTTAACTGGTATAATCTGGCCAGAACATGTTTGTGGTATCCCTTTCATGAAGGCCCCTCCAGCTCCTCCAGAGCCACTGTGTTTGAAAGATTCTCTGATTAACGCTTTTTTTTGGTTAAGGTGGGTGGCCAGGGCTTTGAGAGATGTTCAAAGCTTGGAATATTGTTTTATAATCTAACTCGCTTTAAACTTCTCTACAACTTTCCTGGTCTTCATGATGCTGTTTTACTAATCCTCTCTGAAAAACTCTCACAGAACAGATGTGTGTATCTAGATTAAATCACACACAGGTGGACTCTATTTACCATTCTGGTGACTTCTGAAGGTATTTGGTTGCACTGGATTTGATCAAATACACAATCTTTTTTTTAAATATATTTCACAACTAAAAAATAAAAATATTTCCTTCCTTTTCATAATTATTTACTACTTTTTGTTCAACATAAAATCCAAATTAAATCCATTGAGCTTTGAGGTTAGAATGGAACAGAAAGTAAAAAAGTTATTCTCTAAGACCGTCTGTTACCATGAAACACTTAAGAGCTGCAAACTGCAACCTTTGCCCTTTTAAAACTTATGCCTCAGTCATCCATCAAAGCATACAGTTCGTGGCGAATGTGCACGTGTGCTCTGAGGAATGGCTTCCCATCTTTCCCAACCCAAACAGAGGTGGTTTGGCTCTTTTCAGTCAACAGACAGCAATTGTGTTGATTGTCGTTCAAGCTTAAAGGAGCAGAGTTTTTCTGCCTCCACACAGCTTTGAGCCTTCCTGGTTGAGCTCCTGTTTAAACACGAGCGAGGCGCAAGGAAGGATGAAGAGATGTGATGAGGAGGTTTTAGAGAGAGAATAACAGCGGGGAGAAGGACAGTAGGTTCTGCTAACAGTGCTGAACTCCTCTTCTCAATATTTTCCCCTTTGTCCTGTTCACTCATTCACAACGTTCCCACCATGAAGACCACATAGCCTCCGTTTAACATCTCATTACACAAAGAGCTTTATCAATACAGGAAACAATGTTTAAGGCACAGCCACAGGTGAAAATAGATTTAAAAAAGGCAACAAACTTCCTTTGATAAAAGGTTTCTGAGAGAAAAATACTAAACTGCACTTCCTTTTGTAATTTGGTCTGATGGCTCCAAGACAGCTGATTTCGTTTTAATACGTCTCCTATCCTGTGTTTGTGACCAGAGACAGCTTGATGATAGCTCTGAACGTGATGGATCGACAGGAAGTCACAGGTTGACAGAGATTCATGGCTACTTCCTGTTTTCACATGTATTCTCTTATCCTACAAAGTTCAGAGGTGAAGCAGAGTGCTGCGTCCTAAAAGGGCAAACTGACAACTGAGCTCATGCTGGAATAAAACTTCAATCCATGAGTTTTCTCTGCGGCTACCAGGGTATGTCTATGGAATCAATCACAGGGTTTGTTTTGAGACTTGCATGTGTTTCCAAGCAACGCCTTGAGGTTTTTTGGGGAACTGTAGACTTATCCAAAGGCATCAAATCAAGAAAGGCCTCAGCCAAGTGCAATATTTACCGTTTGGAGAAACTACCAACAGAGGATGCCAAAAACGTTTCAAACGATTGGCTCAGGACTAAAAACTCATAGGTAGGAAAATGTAATGGGCTACGCCTTGATAGGAATCAGGCATTTCTGCAATGTTTCAGAATCGCATCATAAATATCTTTCCACTAGGCTGGCCTGTTGGATTTAAACTAAGTTTCAGCTTCAACACTAACAATAACCACCCAGGGTCCTTCCCGTACACTCACACTTTGACTTTCCATGAGTCATCATACGCCTTAACCTTCTTCAAGTTTCATGTTACAACAAACGTCAATGGATTTTGTAGAAATTTGATGAAATGAAACAACATTAAGAAACAAATAACTATAAAGAGGAAGACAATTAATACATACTTTTCATAGATGTTTAAAGTTTTAAAGTGAAAATATATTTAAGAGTCACATTTGCTCCATAATGAAAAATATGAGTTTCTTAAAGCAAAGACTCCTTACAAATAGTGTTAATGCTCTGATTAAAACTGGTACATTAGTAAATATTCAAATTTGAACACAGTGTTAAAAAGTTTTTGCCTTTAGTTGATATGATGCAATGTGCTGGTTTCCTTGGACGCCAAAATTGTTACCAGAACATAGTAAATCCAAAAGCTATTCATAATCTGGCAGATTTAGGTGTAAAATAATCTTCATCTAAGCAAGATTGACCATTGGTTTTAAAACAGGCATGTAAAAAACAGTTTAACCCTCTAACTGAGCAATTTAAGGCTTTATTTAAAGATTTTAGGCAGATTTTAAACCCATGTTATAACTTTTTCATGTTACTTTTGACAATTTATCTCCACAGGAAGCTCAAACTCTTTGTTTGAAATGCATCTTTACCATCACCCTAATCTTCAGCTCCATCTACAGGGTTTCTATCAGATTCAAAGCAGGGACCTGACGGAGCCATTAGATAATATTCATATTACCTCCAGCTAGAACAATAACAGTAAGTAAGAAATGCCAAAATCTGGCATCTGTGTGTAAGGACTTGAGTTCATCACAAAATTTGTCCCATTATACGTGGACTTTTTCTCTAAATTAATGTACAGCACCTCATTTTATGGGGTAGAAGCTCCACCTGCTTATTCATGCAATTATGAATTCATCTGTGGAAAATAGGGAACCTAAAAAACTGATGCAGAAGGAGTTTTATTTCCCTTCGCTAATGATACGAAGAAGTCATATTCTAGTTGAGATTGAATATCAATTTTTTTCTGGAAAGGTTTAAAAGTTTCCATCAATCTCTCACAGAATCGTTTCTCATTTCTGGTTTATGAGTTTCAGGCAGTTTAGTCCTCCCAGGACTAAGCCACACAGGATAAACACACATCTCTCTCTGAACTACTAGATGACTGTAAGGGATTGTCAAAGGTTATGTGCACAGATGCAGACATGATAAGAGTTTTTCTATTTGCATTATTTCTCCATCAAAGGCCAGACTGCTGGAATAGTTTGTCAAGATTTAATTAGACTTTAATCTATGAAGAGGGAAAATATCTGCTTCTTTAACTGTGACTTCCTATATGTGATGGTCTGTTACTATGTCAGGTTTCGGTTGTACACTCATCTCTGGTGTTTACATTCAATCTTCACAAACCTACTTGTTGGGAAAACACTATTTAACAGATGTATAGGCTCTTAACTAAACCTTGTCCATATTTTAAAAATAATTTAAAAAATGGTTTACCATAAACCTTTGCCGTTTAAATCACGATTGTTCTCATTTAAAAAATGTTTTCACTATTTATTTATTTTTTTTTGTAAATAGCATTTTTGATACTTTATGGAATTAATAACTAAATTTGATGTATCTGAGCCCAACTACAAAGGATATATCTACCAAAAAAATCTACATTTTTATGATAAATAGCAGTGATGAATTCAGAGCTCAGTATCATTTCTTTAAAATATTTAAAATCACAAAGCTTTTAATGTGGAGCCACTAAAGTATTTTGCTCTATTTTAAGTTAAAATAACCTCCAGTTAATTTTTTTTTTTTTTTTAGACAGATGGTCTCACATTCATAAAATCTTCACAGAAGATGAAACGATTTTATCCAGCTTAAGTTAAGAAAAGTTAATTCCTATTAAAAGAAGAAGAAAGAGAAAAACAAAGCTGATATTTTTATGAGTTTAGCTAAATTTGGACATTTATTTGATGTATTGAACCAAGATAAACTAATAATTATGCACATTTAGACCAGATTTATTCAGATTTAAATCTAAACATCACATTTCTACTTTTTCTTTATGAATTTCTTCCATTATGCTGAATATAATTAACATTTAATATTTAATATATATTCTTTAAAGCCTTTTCCTATTTCCAACTTAGCATGGGCGCCTTAGTAACTGATTCCTCCGCTCTTGTTGTTACGCAGGACTATTTAAAAGTTAACTCTGTATTATCTTATTTTCTTTCTTTCTTTGCCTACGTAGATGTCTTTGTCTTTGGTCTAAATTTATTAAATCGCGTTTGCGTTTGAATTTTAAGTACTCCCTTTGATCCTTGTTTAAAACTGAAGACAATGAAGATATCCAAATATTTTTCCGTTCACATGTTTGATTGCAGGAAATATCCCATAAAGGCTATTTTTAGTCAGTGTGTAGTCTGAGTCTGAGGTTTGTGTTTGCTGATTAATGGACAGGGACAAACTCTCAAGCTGCCTGCGATGGTACGTCAGCCTCTGCTCCCTAGGAGCTTAAATAGAAGTTTATCAGCATCCTATTCTATATCATGGTTAACTGAGAGGGTTCACCAATATGGATCCTGTCCTGCCCTACAAAATATTCTCTTTTTGTGAGCTAGACGGAAACATACATTTACAGAATAAAATTGAGCCTTATGGTGTATTAGTGCTGAAATAATATGAGGATGACTGCCAAGTTTAAATCATATAAGGAGACCAAGATGCATGCAGTGCCGTGGAAAAATATTAAACCCTTGAATCCTTTTAGATTTGGTCTTATTTTATTCCAATGAATAACTGTAATTGCAATTGCAGCTATGAAATTTCAGTGTTTCAGGCCAAAAATGTTATATGTACTTTATTAATATTTATCCCATGAAAAAAAAAATCAATGCAAACAAATTAGCTTTCAGAAGTCAGATCCCTGTTTCAAGCAGGGTTAGGTTATAAAATAACTTAAATCTGTTCATCTAAAAATGGAAAGAGTATGAATGAACGCAAACCAAGACCCTAAACTAAGAGGCAAGGTTGCAAGAAGCAGTCAAATAGTGAATGCTAACTCTAAAGAAGCTCTGGAGATTCACTTGTAAGTAAGAGTTTATGGACAACAGAGTTAAATATGGGCTGATCGTGGAGGAGAAGCTGTTGGAAGCTGCAAAAGACTTGGACTGGGGCAGAGCTTTATCTATCAGCAGGACAGTCAGAGTTACAACACAGTGATTTAGGTCAAATAATGTCCTAGTCAAAGCCAGGACTTAATCCAACTGATAACCTGTGGAAAGAGTTTAAAATTCACAAAAGTAAAATGATCCAACTTAATTTATTTAGTTTAAAAGTTACCAAATTGAATGAATTAAAATGGCCAAACTTAATTCTATTACTTGTTACCAGTTGAAGTAATTAATCTAGCTTGGAGCTACATTCTCTGTAAAGAGAGCATAACAATATCAAACAAGGAAGAAATGGCAATTTAAACATCTAGATTATGTTAAAGCTGGAAAAAAAAACTGTCAAAACAAAAAAATCTGCATCTGCAATAACTGTCAGTTGAGGTGGATTTACTTTATTGTAATATTTTCTGTTATATTCTAGTACTAATGTATAATAAAAGTTGTATATTTAATGTCTAAAGCTTAACTACATGTAATTTTTGTAACACACAGTACATGAAATAATATCAAAAGTCATTTTCAAACTGCAAACTCTGGTTCATTAAAAGTCGAATAACTGGAAACAACCTTCTTCTTTGAATCAACTCTATGAAGAAAAAGCATCTAAAACTGTTATTTTATCTCACAAAGATGATAAGAAAACATGACTTACCCTTGGCCCAATGTCTCCTTGGTCACCCTGAGAGAAAAACAGGAAAAATAACAATTGTCAGTAGTTCTCAGAATTGTAAATGTACAAATGGCTAATAATTCAAGAGCTACTGTAGGGCTGCTATGACACACGAGCTTATAAAAATAGTGTTTATAGGAAGGAAGCAACTCAAGGGTCATCTGTCCAAACCACAATGGGATGTAAACACTTACTGGATAAGTCATTTGATAGACTCAGTGGACAGGATGAGATTGGGGTAGTAAAAGTGGGTGTGAGCTGGGCGAGGATTGTTTTTTGATCGGGAACCAAGGGGTCAAGCTCTCATTACTGAGCTACTATTATGATAACACAAAGGAAGGCTGTTTTCTTTTTTTAAACTTCACATCATCTATCTGTCGGAGAGAACACAACGTGGATCGGCCTGGGTCCTGCCCTGATAAGTGCTGTTTACTGTGACTGTCTGCTTATCCACAGATCTGTTGGTTGAAGGCAAAAGCACCAAGTTCACCACAGGCGTGGGCATCACAGAGAACATGCCAGGCTCTAACTGCCATCACTTTACAACAGCTTCAGCTGCACTGAGGTTAGCAGAGCGGGAAAACATCTGGCTGTCATTGAGCTTCACAGACGGTATTGTTTTTTTCTGCATATTTAGTTAGTCTAAGGCAAAACACCTGAAGGTCAAGAGATTTCATTAGGTTATATGCATCTCTGTGGCTTTATGTGGGCAAAACCATTTAATAAAATGCATCTAAACATGCCGGGGTCAGGTTAGGCAGAGCTGGAACTGGACATGAAGCATACCTTCTCTCCCTTGGGTCCGGGCAGCCCCTGCAGGAGGGATAAGACAGTTAATCAGAAATAGTCGGTAGAAATAAATCAGCGATCTTATGGAACACACACCGTAGCGCAATGCATCTTCAACATGGCTTAAGAAGCAAGTATTCAATCAAAGAATGAGGCAACGCGTCAACACCACTAAATAACCTGTGACACAGAGACCGCTTCATCTCCTCAACGTTATTTGCCGTTTGAGGCAAGGAAAAAAAAAAAAAAACTTTAAAGAATATATAGAGTTTAACAAAATGTCTTGGAAGATGAAACTAAAAATGAAAGATGTTCCTTTTGTTCCACCATCAGCCTTTCTGTCAGATGGGAACTTTGAAGATGTTTTAGTGAGGACTTCTTATGTTGGGGTTTTGTTGTGTCTTTGGGATTGAATGTCCCAAACACTAACAGAAAACATGAAGCTTGAGTTTTCTCTTCTGTGTATCAGATTCTTTGTATTGCACATTTTGACATCAAATTTATAAACGGTGGGCTGACAGATGAGATTCATTTGCCGTTCGCCTCTCTGTCCTAGTTTGTCCACTGGGCACAAGTGGCACAAAGATGCCACATGTGGTGCCACCACAAAGGTCCACAGTGACAGAAGAAAGAAGACATGGAAACCAGCCAACATGTGTAGGCTTCTCAAAAGCAACGTCACCCTTTGAAATTTCTTTGATATTTTGTCATGTTAAAACCACAAACCTTCATGTATTTGATTGGGGTTCAATAGAATAGGCTAACACAAAGCAGAGCATGAGAACTTAGCCCCTTTACTCTAATAAGCCTAAATGAAATCTAGTCAATCACTCCCCTCTGTAGCCACACCATTATTTAAAAGAGTCAAACGATGTGTCATTTAAACTCGACATGAATCTCCTCTCTGAAGGTCATAGAGGTTTTTATTCAAGTATATTAATGAAAAAGCACCAAGAAGACCAAGGAACACACATAAAGATCAGGGATAAAGATGTAGAGACATCTAAATGGGTTAAAGTCATGGAACGATATCCCAAACTTTGGTGATATCACAGAGAGCCTTTTATAACATCTTCCTAAAATATGAGGATGGCAAAACAGCAAAACTATCAAGAAAAAGATCCACTAAAAAAAAGGGCATTAATTGGAGTAGCAAAGTAGCCTCTGGTAACTCTGGAGGAGCTGCACAGACCTGTACTAAGACGTTGCTCTAGTCATATTGTCATCAATAAAGAATAGAGAAAAATAGAATATTTAGAATTTCTTCCCATTTCTGAGTTATACATGACTTTTAGTTCATGGGTTAATTTCAAGCAAATTTTCATACTATTTCTGCAAGAAAAACTCAATATTATGTGTATACTAGGGATATTGAAAATCAGGAGCACTGAGACATGTCGTGGTGGCCTGGCACAGGGAATATATCGTATATATTGGTCATATTATGTATTGCACATAAAGTAGGTGTCAAACACTGATGCAGTAGCTTTGTCCTGAGTGATAGAAAAAATGTTGGTGTCCTGAAAAGTGTTCAAGCTATGCTTTTGGAATTCTGCTTCACTTAAGATGATCTGGAACATTAGCTTTGCAAGATAGAATATTTAGAATCTCAATTTCATATCTTAGAACAGCCAGCTGTGGGCAGATAGATAGATAGATAGATAGATAGATAGATAGATAGATAGATTTTTTTTTTGTCTTTTTATGCCTCCTTTGTCTACTTTTTGACTAACCCTATCTGGTATTCAAATCTATGGCTCCTTCAGAGTCCTATGACTTTAAGTGCTTCCATCCTTCTTAAGACAGGGCTTTAAATTTTATCCTCACCTTCCTTTTTATTGAGCCAAATATTTAGTTTGGACAGGAGCTCCTATTGTTATGGAGCAGAGCTTTGACAAAGTGTGCCCATCGCCGGCAGAGCCTCTGCACTTTAGGTCAGGGTGAAAGTGGATGGAAATATGTGGCATAAAACAATCTGAAATGAAAATATTATGTCTGAAAAATGAAGCTTCTCCTCTGATATTACTAAAATTAATGAACGTCAGATTAAAATCTCAGTTTAAAGGTTGTCTTACTGGAACTTCTGACCAATCAATCTAGATAAGCTTTTTTTATCTGGATCCTCTTATTTTAACCTCTTGCTCTGTGAGTTAAGAAGTGACCCTGCCTGAGAACTATGCTGCTTTGTCTGTGGTTTTTACTGTGGAGGACGGTCCTGTTAAATGACAGACTGGGCTGTAAGTTGGATTTAACAGGAAACAGGAGTTTAATGATGTTTGGAGAGGAACTATTTAAACGGCTCCAATTAAGAAGATATATATATAAGACGGTCAACAAAATGTTTCCCCTTTTTGTAAATATAATTTAAATTGTATTTAGAAAATTGAATAAAGAATTATGACAAAGATAAAAGGAATGGCAGAGTGACCACAGAGGTCAGCCAAAGGAGGAGCAGAGGGCACCGTAATGACTTTTTAAAGAGCCTCTGTTTGAGGCCGTAAACACCATTCGCTCCCCTTCTTTCCCATCGGTATGTAACCCATTTGCTCTGCTGTGCCTGTTTACACGCTACACCTGGGTGAGCCTGGGAGTGTGCAGGGTTTCATGTGAAGGGTGATGAATGGGAGGGCAGAGGGGATTTCTGAATTAACTTTATCCATGACTCCCCCTTGACTGGCGAGCTCTGGGACGACTTAAGACGTGGAACAAGGATGAAAATAGGTACCATGTTTTCTTTTTTAACAGGAACAGTAAAAATGATTGATCTGCTACAGAAAACCCACCTGTCTTGCAGGGAAAATGCCCATCTGGATTCTAAGTTAACAAAATCTACATGTAGTAACTTCTTATTTCAATGAATAGCTATAATTAAAGAGCTAGAAAGATGTGTGAGAGGGTACCTGGCTTCCTTTGGGACCTGGAAAGCCCTTAAAATGAGGAAAAATAAGAACTTTACAATCAAATCTAATCCCTTAAAGCACATTGTAAAAGTTTGTCTATTAAATTACTCACTGGTTTGCCATCCAAGCCAAGTGGACCCTGTTGGAGAACAATAAAAGAGAGCGGTTAAAAAAATGCAGAATAAAACACTACAGGAACAGCTACAAGTTTTAAGAACATCACTGTTATTTTTTTCTTTTGTTTCAGATTTAAATCGATTAAACTTTTGTTGAAAGATTTTTGAAAAATGGCTTGTTTGGTAAAACCTGAGGCTGTTCTTTTAGTTAGAAATACATTGCCGCACAAATGTAATGGAAATTAAAAGCTCAGGTTAGATGTGTGAGACCAATAAAAACACTTAAAATATCACTTTTTTCCACAAGTTTTGTTGCTTGATGTTATAAAATATTAATGTATACATCATATTCACATGAGCTTTTAAACCATATTTACATATTTTATGAAAAGAAGGTCAAGCTGTCTTACATATATAAATCAAAATAAAGAAATAAAGCTCATTCTAGATATGTCTAATATTTTCTTGACAGGATAATTCAGATAATTTTTTTAACTTTTTCTACTTAATTCCAGAATAAGGAGATTTTTCCTACTAAATAGTAAGGCAATTTAAACAACTTCTAAATTTAATAAACTAATTTAATGAATTTAAAGAATTATAAGTAAGCAACTTTTGCTGAGAAAATTATATTAAGTATCGCATTTTTGCAGTGCATCAACCATAGAAAATATCTGTCAGTATGCTGGTGGAGATTCTCCGTCATCCAGGTCATAGTCATTCCAAAAAGTTAAAGTCAAAAAAGAAACCACCGGACCTCGTTTTCCAAGTTTGAAGACATTTCACTTCCCATCCTGGAATCCCAGTACAGATAAAGAAGACAGGTGGTTTGAAAGGGGTGTGAAGGAAGCCATTTATGTGAAAAGAGAAAAAAACAACCTTAAACAGAGGGGGTGGACTCAGGTTTAAGCTCTCAAAAACCTACAACGCAGCAATACAGTTGATTCCTTTCCAACACCATCTCAACCCCAAAATCTCGCCAGGTCAGCCAGGCCAACAATGACCCTTAACGACTGCCATTTCAGAAGAATGGGCAAGTATTGGGTATTGCAGGCCAATAACAACCTAAACAATTCCCATTATTAAGGGTGGAGCTGGTTTTCCAGCTTCAATGTGCATGTTTTCTAAGCCATTATGAGGCTTTTGTTAGGCTACTCTATAAATGTCTGGAACTCAACACTAATCCAGACATTTTTAATTGAGAAAGCTTCCTGGATGGGCAGCAAAACGTCTTTAAACTTGGAAGACAAAGTCCAGTGTTTTGTTTTTTAACTTTCACTTTTTGGAATATGTTGGTTTTGTTTTAAATAATTTTTTGTTATTAGGCTGAACTCCTGTGGAACCAACTACCAGTTCAAGCCATTGAGGTAGACACCCCGTCTACATTTAAGGCTAAGCTTAAAACGTCCTTTTTGATAAAGCTTATAGGTAGAGTGGCTAGTTATGCTGCTATAGGCTTAGAATGCTGGAGAACATAGGGACCCCTTTCTCATCATTCTGCTTCACTCAATCTCTGCTCTCCCATTCTGCAGTATTTGCTAGTTTAATAATGTTATGCTCTTTCTGATTTTTCTCATAGTAACTTCATCTGGTCTGTTCCTCTTTGGCTGTGACACCATCGTGGAGAGAAATATCAGCTGTGCTGCTGCCATCAACACATTTGTTTGTAGATGTTGGAGATCAGCCTGTTTTTTGGTTTCTCTGACAATGACTAACTGGATGCGCTCTCTTCATCCTCTGACATGGGAGCTGGCTCACAGCTTGTCTGACTGGCTGTGCGTTTCCTGGACAGAGCCGCCTGTGGAGCTGGTTGACAGTTGACTTTTGCATCTCTGCTTCTTTTTCTACATCGGCTTCTGTCTCCTAGAACCCCAGTCGGCCTCGGCAGATGGCCGCTCTCACACAGAGTCTGGTTTTGTTGGAGGTTTCTTCCTGTTAAAATGGAGTTTTTCCTCTCCACTGTCGCTACAAGCATGCTTAGTGTGAGTGATTGCCTTTGAGTCATTGATGCAATCAACTGGCTTTGCTTAGATAGAAAACTTTGAATCAATTTCATTGTATGATCTGGTTGGATTATCTTTGTAAATCTCCTTGAGGTGACATGTGTGGTGCTATATAAGTAAAGTAAATTGAATTTAAAACTAGTACAAACAAATATGATTAAGGAACAGTTACTGTAAAAGGTACCTATTACACAGCTCTCTTTCTGGGATTCAGCTATGAAGCTAATTAAAAAAATGAAGAATAAAAATGAGTAAAGAGCTAAAAGTACTATGAATAGCTACTTCATGGCTAATGAGCGCCACCAGTAGAAAAAACAAAACAAACTCGCTAACATCTTTAGAACTGTTCTGCTAAGCCAATATTTTCCATTATTATTTATGCCTTTAGCTCTATTAGGCAGACATTAAATTGATATAAATCTTTTAATCTAACTCTCAGCAAGTAAGGAACAAATCTTGTCTTCTAATGACCATCTTCAAAGACTTCTAATGAGTCTTCAGTGGATAAAGAATGTCATTATTACACTAAAAAGACACTATTTGCTTAAAATCCTCAGACCAGACAGACCCTCTTAAAAACATCCTAAAGCCAGCTGTTACTGATTAGTGTTTCATAATGTTTGACTCTCTTTCCTTATCTCTCGTGAGACTTTGTATATAATGTTTGTCTTAAGAGAAACAATGAACATCATTTGCAAATACAACAAAGAGAGAAAAATAAAAGATGGTTTGTAAATAGCAGAGAGAGTTTGGAAAAATGATGTGAGAAGAAAATGGAAAAAAAAGAAGCAAAATTAATATATCCTGCCCCACGGTTTGAGTGCACACCACTTTTGGATTTTCCTAAATCAAAACTGATAGGTTGTTGGATTTATGCAGTCATTCTACATCTGCAATGTGGGTTTGTGGTGATGAGATAACCTAAAAGGCGGTTCAGTGAGGTCTTCCTGAAGCTCACTGGGGCGCTGAAGCAGCAGTTGGCTTTGTGCACTTTGTTTACCTCAATAAAAAACAGTTGAGCAGTCATTGAACCTCTTCTTCAGAGCAACCCTGGGTTCAAACGTGGAGACCCTCAGATCCTTACTTAAACATAAAGGAACACTTGGCTGTAGAATGAAACTTTCCAAAAACACTTAAATGTGATGTATGTGGTAAAGGCTAATGTTGACTTCCTCCTTAACGACTATACTCCATGTTAAGCAAACAGTTTTTACAGCGTCCCCCGAGTATGGGTTGCTTTGCACCCCCTTTGCAATAGCGGTGGCTCTGCAGACTAAAAGCTGTCATTAACATTCGGCCTGTATGGCCTTGGATGGCTTTTGCTGTTCTGCCTCTTCTGTCTGGGGGACACCTGGCCTCAGGTCCTGCAGGGGAAACCTCAGCATTGCCATCATTGCTGGCTTTGATGGATGGGTCATAGTTGCAAAAAGATGTGTGGTCTTACACACAGTTTGATGTTTTGAAATATTATAGAGAAGTGAGCATTCAAAAGCATTAAAAGAACTGCAAAAATTGTTGAAGGTACTAATGTTCCACTGAGTGTCAAAACAAAAATACTGAGGAAGTGATTACTTTTATTTGTACAACTCTACACCGCTTTAAGAGCATGAGAAGTTGTAGTTTTGTCACTCTATTAAAAGCAGCATGCTGGGTTTACCGTGTCATGAATGTGAGAAATTAGATGAGCATACAAATGTCCCACTGAGTTTTTCCCCTGCTATCAGGGTCCAGATCTTTGGATGTGTGCCTCGTGTTGCGGCGTACATGCGTCCGCTTGTATGCGGCGGTGTCCCTGCATCTGGTAGCATTTACTGAGCCGCAGCTCCTTCAAGCATCATCAGGATGAGTAGACGAGTTGAACGTTGTGAGGTCATCTGCTGCTGTGGATGTCTGTTCAAAAAGAGACTGATTTATGGCTGCTAACGAGCGACAAAGTGGCTTGTGAACCTTTGCAGAGTATGTCTTTGCTTTTAAAGATGTGTGTGAAAGTTTTATTCGCCGTTATAAAACCCGATATGTATGCCTGGCTCCTGACCTCAACTTTAAAGATGGAGAAAGAAGCTTACAATTTCTTCTGTTCTTAAAGTTTAAGGGGTGATATCAGCACTAACAATGAAGCAGTCATTATCTATTTTAAAAGAAAAAAAAGGTAACCAATACAGCAAATGTCATCGACTCATCTGCTGGAAAAAAAATAAATAAATCACATGCTGTATGTGTTGAGGGGCAAAGTGAGCACATTTGAAGAAATCTGTATTTAATTTATTCAAAACAGATGAATAGATTCAGAGGTACTCAATGCTGATTTTCAGGACACTTGGTGGTTTCTTATGTGCTTTTATTCGTTGTTTCTGATTATGATTTATAGATCAAAAAATTCAGTTTTTAACCGAAAAAAAAAAGAAAACCCCAAAAGAATATGTGTAAAGAAATTATATTTGTACCTTTCATAGTTTGGAAGTTAATAAACAATATAAAATATCCCGAAGAGGTTTTTCTGTGACGGGACAGTCAAACTGAACCAAAAGTTCCAGCTTAACAGATTTGGGGACTATACATCTTAGTTATTTTGTCTTCATAAAACCAGTCAAACTCAGTCTAACTGGATGCAGATTATCTGTGAGCATAAATTTTTAAGTGTCGCCAAAGTTTCTCTTTTGTATTTCGGTCTGAAGTTTGACGAGGCACTGGACAAAGTTTAGAAACAATCTAAAGCAAAAAGTTTTATATATATATATATATATATATATACATATATATAAACCATTCTGTTACAGTTCTGATTGTGTCTATTTTACAATCTCTCTGGGGAATATTGTGCTCAGGGTGATGAGCACTGTTAGTTTCTTGTCACGTTTAAGCCTAAAAGTTATTCTTTAGGTCAAACTGGATTTTATTTAGAGATGAAACAATAGTGAGGTCCTAATAAAATGATCCTAAGAGGTTTTTTTTATATATATATTTTTCTTACCTTTTCACAATAATTAAGGTCGGTCTAAAAAATACATCAACAATGAAACTCAATAAAATACATTAAAGTTGTTATGAATGTTATAAAAAAACAATCTTTGCAAGGCCTTCAATATGAAGAACAGAAACAGAGCAATAATTTTCCATTGATGATGGAAAAGTAATATATTTTCTTTTACTTTTTGCATAGTTGCAACATACCTACAAGGCAGACAAACAGTCTGTGCATATAAAAGGGCTGGAATTCAAATAAAACTAAGCTAAACTAACAAAAAAACAAAACAAACAAAAAGTATAGGGGTGGTGGTGAGGTTTTGTGGGTCTGAATTAGGAGCTTCTGGTAAAAAACTCTTCATCTCACACCACAAAAAGGATCTGATTACCAAATACAGGATGGAGAGAGTAACAATGAAAAGAAAATAACTGGGAGAAATAAGCCTGATAATTAACCAAAACCTCAACTCACTGTGGAGACAAAAATAAAACAAAATCCATTTTAGTGCATGTTTGACTGTACTGTCCGTTCTAGATGCATGTATGTCTTTCTGTGTGGATGTTCACACTGATTAATGCGGGAATGCGTGTGCATCCCAGAGAATAAGGGTGAGGGGTGTCTCTGCTGGTTTATGGTGCTATTTGTGGTGCAGACTGGTGATTATCCAGTGGGGTGTAATTGTTGAGGATGCAGCTTGAAAAGCATGGTGTCTGCACATCAGCCAGACATCTTGGCTGGAAACACACATGGTAACGTGTTGTTCACATTAGCCGTTAGCTTGATTTCAGTCATAAAAATGAAGCTGATAAGGCAAATGACGATCCGTTCCTTTCTCCTTTAGCTCTGTGGGCGTTTTTTTAATCCACTTCAGTCTCTCTTCAAACATCCATTGATCCTTTCCAATACCTATAGGCTGCAGCTGTGGGAAACACACTACCACTTCTATGTTTGTACAATTTGGGAAACATGTTTTTTTATTTTCTTTTAACCCAAAGCCTGGAGAAGAACCAAATAGAAGAAGAAAGCATACCAGAGGGCGGTGTGTTTGGGACAGAAAATTACTGACATGTTGTTGGGTGACCGTCTGGCTTTAATCTGTGCGCTGCAGCCTGGAAGCAGGAACAATGGAGGCCTTGGCCGGTTCGTACAGAAAGAGGTCGGCTGTCTGTCTAAGACTGGCACTCTCACATAAACACACTTATAGCTGGCTATGCTGGTCTCTGTGCATATGAATGAAAGGCAGGCGCTATGTGGGGGTGTGTGGACCCCTCTGCGCTGCCCTGTCAGAGTGCCTTACTTTGATTTTTTGACAGCGGGAAGTCTCTTTTCAGAGAGGTTCCTTGGCTGTGATTTATGAGGGGAAGGACGAGTAGAAAAAATATACCTCAGCACACACACACATATAGTTGTTGCAGAGTTATGCTTGAGATACTCGCAAACCACACTTCATTAACACTGTTTATCAAATCACTGATGATTCACTGCCAGAGGCCTGCTGCCTGCATTAGTCTGATGAACTCAACATGTGTATTTCACCTGAGTGAGGCATGTGTGTGCAAACATGCACACGTGTCTACACAGCTTCACTGACAGCTGTTAAAGGGAGGATTAGTTTTACTTCAGTAGATTGATACCCAGCTGTTTACGTAAATACTTTTTAGATGTATAAAATAGCTGCATTTAATGGAAGGATAGTCCTAAGAAAGGATGGGCTTTACTTGCCCCCATCTTCAGAGTAAAACAATATAGCTGCAGAAGTCTAAACTTTTATAATCCTGCAGTGTTTTTACTGAGAAGTAAGGTATTAATTGGCATTCATGGTAGGCAAAGCCAGGAAAATCTGACTGATGGAAGTCTTGAATCTGTGAAAACTAAAGAATAACAGTGGTTTAAAGTCTGGTGTAAATACATTGAATTACGATAAATTATGTTATTTATTATTGTTTTGTAGTAAAGGGACAGAAAAAAAAAAAGAATAATTCTTCTATTTGCTCCTATTTATTCAAACTGTGTTGTAACATATTAATGTCTGCTTTTTTGTTATTCTAAATAAATGAAATACAATAATATATATATATATATATATATATATATATATATATATATATATATATATATATATATATATATATATATATATATATATATATATATATATATATATATATATATATATAAATATATACATATATAGCAGGCAAGTTATAGGGATCCTGCACTGAACAAGAAAACTTTGCAATATAGCTCTTTTTAAACTACTCTAAATGTTTAACATATTTGGACAATGTTGGTTTGGCAGATTCTCCTCTCAGGTTTTATTACATCTCTGTAGTAAATATCTCGCTGTATTATTACAGCACACACAGGTGTTTCCTATGACATCCAGCATTGGATGGGATGACTGCACCTCCTCTACTGGGTTTGTTTGAGTAAAATAACCCCTGTTTCACTGCTAGATGGCAGTAATTCCTACAAGCAACGTCCTGATCCATTATCGGATATCGAACCCATATCAGCCAAGAAACTATAAGAAAATATAAGAAAATATAAGAAAATATCAGAATATATCGGCCTGCGTCTATAATCTCCGATATTAGCATGCTGATAGAAACACATTCTGTTTTTTTTATTACCTATTTTTGTCCCCTATTTTGTTCTATTTTGTGAACAATATTTTACTCCAGTAATAAAAGTAATTATAATTTGTTCTGTATCGTATCGGGTCAATATCAGTATCGGTCAATACCACGAGTCTCAATATCAGTATCATATCGGGAATGACAAGGTTTTATTGAAACATCCTTAATTCTTACAAAATATCCCGTTAAGAAAAAGATAACATTTTTGAATTGACATTTTACAGAATATCTTTCCTCCTACATTATAACTTGTAATTATCAAGAAGCTAAAGATTAAATGCATCTGTTACTTGTTAAATGGTGAACTTTTATTTTTAAAATCCTAAAGGTTGGGTTATGGCATTGAATTGAGATTTAATGTGAACAATTGATCTTATAGGAAAAACTTAAAATCTAAATTCAGTTTAATCAAAATGAGAAATAAAGATGCATCATGGAGGTCAATAGGAAGATGATGGAATCCAATCTTTCAATTTGATTAAACAATCAACAATGATTTTAGTGGAACAAATCTGCAGTAGAACAAAGTTCACTGAATTGCTTGATTTGTTGGTGTTGAACAGGGCATGACCTTTTTGTTTTGGGCAACCATTTGAGCAAAATGGTGCAAGAACACACAAAACCCATCTGGCCTGTGTTGCCTGTGTTCCACTGACGTACAGTCCATATATGGTTGGATGGAGTTCACCTTCTTCTTTAGACGAGAACAGATCCCAAAAAACGTTCTCCCAAACTGAAAGAATTATTGTTTTTACATCTCTCTTAAGGGTAGTTCCTATGCTCCACTTATCTGGAACAAACTTCCATAAAACTGTAAAAGTGCGGAAAGCCTGAGTTCCTTTAAATCAAGACTGAAAACACATTTGTTTAGGATTGCCTTCGACTGTTGTAGTTAAACAGTTCAACAAAAACATCATTAGTTCAACTTTTTTATTTTCTTTAGTCCAACTGTTTTTAATGTTCTTTTTTGTTTCTGCATTTTTGATTTTATTTTTTTCTCCTACTTGCTTTGATTCTGTTTTATTTACCTGTATTTTAATCATGTAAAGCACTTTGCATTGTCTTTGCCTTGCCTTACCTTGCCTAAAAATCTACATAGTTATATGCTGTCCATTTAAACTGTCAGTGAAACTAATCTATTCAGCTTCTTGCACACTGACTCTTATGTTAACTCAATCGCAAGATGCCTTTTTACAGGCATCAAACAAACATCTTATAGTGAAATATATAATTTTTTTCGCAAAGACACCACAAAGAGACTGGTAACATTGTGTTCCCTAAATTGGGATATCTTCTCCAGATTAATCACCCATCTGAGCATCGTTATATAAGAGGCATTTCCAAAGAAGACAGTGGCACAGATGCACAGGGTCACAAGCAAAGGGAAAGCAAATGTGCACACATTTATTTGTGCTCTCCGTCCACCTGTGTGCAATTAGCAGTGAGTATTTCCCGTCAGCAGAGCTGCGCAGTGCCAGACGGTCTGCATGGGAATCTGCCCCCAGGACCGGCCTCCAGAAACTCCCCCAGTGGGAGACGAATAAAACCCAGAGTGCCACCAGAAGCAACTGGATGCTGAGGACAGACCACAATAACAGGTGACTGCTGATGGTCACCATGACAATCTAAACACTCACAGGCGCTGATCAACAAACCCTGTCTGCTGCCAGAAGAGGATGAGGATTTGATGATAGGTAATCCACAAACCGTTAACAGACTATAGGTTACGCTTTATCAGCTCTCACCCCTAGAGGCCACTATTTATCTGATTAACATTAAAATACAGCTCTTTTTTTCACTACCACTATCATGGATGCCAACTAGCTACATCACCATCTGTTTGGCTTATTTTGACAGATATCTTTACATCATTATTTCTTCGTGCCTTTAGATTAACAAGTTTTAATTTTCAGCTGATCAAAGCAGGCAAAATCAGGAGTGGAAATGTGTTTTTGTTAGACCTGCTTTTTAGAAATGGGGCAGGATACAAATCATAGAATGTTAATAGTTTTTTTTAAATTGTAATAAGAGAAAAAGAAGGAAAGACAATCAAATATACAGTATAGAGGTTAAAGCTCAAAAGAGAAAAGAAAAAAGAATAGCTGAGCAGAGACAAGGATGAAGAGTGACAAGGTGAAAGCAAAAAAAATCCAAATTACCGGGTATCCATCCCGTCCAGCCTTGCCCTGGTGAGTTTAGACATCAAAGCATGAAGCCATGAGATAAATTGGAACAAAAAAACAGCCACTGCACACAACATGCTGCATTTACATTAACTCATCATGTCAACATGGGAGCTTTTAGGCCAAAAGGAGACGAATTATATATTATTTGTTTGGTGCATTTCACTGTTTCATACAAAAACTTGCTGCAAATAATGTGATTTGGTTTGCACACTGGATTGATTTAATCATGTGAAACTGATCCAGGACAGCATTAAATGCCTATTTTGGGGGCTATACTGCACCCTGAGCTGTGTCACATTCCAACCACAAGCTTTAGACAGTATTTCAATCATGACTTTCATCATTTGGAGCTTTCCATGACAGAAAAAACTCACATAAAGTACCAAAAATTCAAATTTAAAAGGAAAATGGTAAAGGATTTGTTTGTATGAACAAAAATTATTACCAAACTAGTGGCAATTATGACACTTGTTTGGTGATGCAAACGCTATATGTTGATATAAGTAGTTAACAATAATTTCCTTAAATGTTCTACATGTGCTACTTAGTGTTAGCCAGCACATAAAATTCAACAAAACACATTATAATATGACTGAATATTATTGTGACAGAATATGGAAAAGTTAAAGGAGTGTAAATATTTCTTTTTTTCATCTTTTTTTTTGTATGTTTTGCTTCACTGAATGACTCTGCCTGTTTCTCTGTGCTTTATTATATAGAATATTTATGACGCTCTGGCAGGTCGTTACTTCGCACATCTTCAATCAAGTTTATGAGATGGATGCTTTGTACGTGTGTGGTAAAAAAATAAAACCTGCCGACTTCACGGGCATTTGGTGCAAAAGCATTTGCACAGACAGCTTTCCCCAAATCATCCCCAAGATTTAAGTAACGTCAGCTAGGCCAGTTTGTAGTTTTCCCATGTTTCGTGGTGGGTTGTAAAGCCAATAACCGCTTCTGCACATCTGATCTGTGCCACATGTGAGCATGAAAATAAAGAATAAAGCTTAAAATTCCTCAAGGCCAGATCATAACATATTCAATGCAGAAGCAAAAGCATAAAAAAAAAAAAAAAAAAGTGTGAACATAACGTTTTTGTGTTTATCTATGTATCTATAACATTTCTGGTTATAACCATCACCATACTCATACAAAAAAACACACAGCCAGGAGTAATCACACACTTCTGTAGGTGGTCTTTGTATTCAGGTTTTACTGCTGTGGGAGAGAGGCAGATTTTTTGGTTTGACCTGCAGTTTGTCCAGCGGTGAGCAGGGAACAGCCGACGAGGACGTGTGTGATGTATGTGCACAGCTAGGGTCAAAACCTCTAAAATCAATTCAATACTACCTGGATGAGATGAAAGCGTACTTACAGGAAGCCCTGCAACAGAGAAGAGAAATGAGGGAGAGGGATCAGAAAATCAGCGTTTACATCTTTTCTGACAGATGAGGCAAGGCATGTGTGACAAGAAGCAACCTCAGCTTTGAACGCCGATCACTTCCTTCAAGGAGTACCACAACAAAAAACCCTGTTCATGTCATGTGGCTGGTTAGATAATGACTGTAATTAACCCCCTGAACATGGCAGGAGAAGACAGCTCATTAGAGCTACTGCCAGTGGAGTTTGTGGCAAAGCCGTTATAATAAACAGGCTTCTGGTTGAGCTGTGTTTTAGATTAGGAATATAAAGTCATGTCAAGGCTTTGTTCCTCAGGAAGATGTGGGAGCATAAGGATGGAGGACAAGCAGTGAGTGAAAAGGTCATGCTGGCAAGGCATGCTTCCCTTTTAGAGCACAAACTGGATGTCTCTGACATTCCTCCAGGGTTGGCTTTCACATGTGATTGAAGCTCTTTAATGTTGAGCATCAGCAGCGAAAACATAGATTCTGCTTTTCATAGTTTGTTTAACCAAAAGAAACAGTAATGATCAAAGATTTTCTCCTTTCTAAATAAATCTAAGAAATGGAAGAAGCCCAGGCCCCTAATAAACTACATAAACATCTTTAAAGTGAGAATATTATTATGCGAATGAGGCATTGTTTTCTTAGATATAGAAAGGTGCTGATTTATTTGGCAGTTACAGCATTTTTGAACCTGTTAGGGTGTAAAAATCAACATATATCTTGAAACATTCCGAGCAGGAAGATGGTGAAATAGTTTTTCATAACAATTTAAAGACACTTTAGCATACCATACCATCCTGAATTTATTATAAAGCACTTTCAACACCCTGAAATTGCATGTGTTGTGTAATTTTGGCGCTATAGAATTTGGCGCCATAGAAATAAACCGAATTGAATTTAATTGTTTGATTATAGCGCTCGTTCTGCCCAGCTTTTTAGTTAATTCGTTTGGTGAAATTATACATTGCTGTTGTTGTAACCCTCTTTTCTACTTTTAGGATATAGACTGAACAGAACGCAGTGGCTTCTTCAAAGCACAGAATATTGATGATATCCTAATGTTGCTTTAAACCTCCTTACAGCTGAACATCTATGTTTCATGTTCAGTAGCGTGTATGTCTATGGCAAGCTGGTTTAACATAAATTCCGTTATAACACCTTTACATTCAAGGTATCTCAAATTGTTATATGACTAGACGTTTTAGCGAGTTAGAGATATCTCTAATTATATTTTGACTAGTCGAAATGACGTCAGATTTACCATTAACTTGTATGTAGACAACAATTTAAGATATCTAGAAGGAATTACTGAATATCTGAAATACACATTTCAGATATCTACGATTAAATTACGACTAGTTATAAAGTAATTTCAAGATATCTCGATTTTAGTTTTGGATAGTCATAATTCTAATTAAAGATATCTGAAATGCCATCATAATTCAAGATATCTTAAATGTATTTTAGGATAGGAGATATGCAGTTTTGACAAGTGAAAACTAAATTATAGATATCTTAAAAGCAAATGATGACTAGAAAAACAAATTTAAAGATATCTTGAATTGTAATTCAAAATTCCTTTTAAGATATCTCTAAATGAATTAAAGATATCTTGAATTATTCAGCTTTTCCATTAAAGATATCTTAAATTGACATTCTGACCAGTCAAAATGTGTAATGATCTTTTTAATGGGCTTCCAGGAGGATCATTCCTACAAAATTTCTTACTGTCAGTTTAATCCAAAGGAGGAAAAGTTAAATCAGCGTGTGACGCTTTAAATGACAAATCCGGTGACGTAGTTTGAGATATCTTGAAAGGAATTAGGAACTAGGCAAAATGTAATTTAAGATATCTTGAATTATCATTCTTCCTAATCAGAATGTAAATAGAGATATCTTAAATAACCATTCGGGATAGTCAAAATGTGGTTTTGTCTAGTCAAATGTATTTGAAGATATCTGTAACGTAATTGTGGATGGTTAGATGAAACCGAATTTATGTTAAAAAGGCTGGCCATACTATGACAGTTTGTTCATTAATGGTCAGTAAGGAACATTTCACAACAAAATGTATCATTTAGAAGTAAACACTACTTTGTGTTCATCAATTACATAAAAAGTCAAATAAAGAGCATTAAAGTTCTCAAGTTATACTGTGATAAAACTTGAAAAAGTTGCAAGGCACTGTAGCTGTGTCTAGACGGTTTGAGAAAGACCTCTTGAGTCAGACAGCAAGGTAAACATACACACACACTCTGGTTAAAGAGCCACACAGTTAGAGCGGCTTTGGGCACAGGGCGGGAGACAGGTGTGTGTGTGTGTGTAGAGTAAAAACAAAGAAGAAAGAGAAAGAGAAGTATGTTAAACAAGAGCAAAAAGGATCAGGGAGAGCAGGAGCAGGACACCAGATGACAAGCACAGTTTTAAGATGCTTGACTAATCTGTCTGAACTCTTTCCTGTTTTTCAAGTTGCAGTTTTCTGTTTCTCTTCTGCACTCTCGTTTGTTTTCATTTTTACTTTCTGACAGAAAAACATTCTGGTCTTGTATAAAAAGTTGTTTAGCTGTCTTTGGAGAGAGAGAGGATGGTTAAACAGCCTCTCTGTGGGAACAACCCACACACTTCTACTGGCTGTAAAAAACACAGAAATACAAGACAGAACCTAAACAAAAACCACACACAGATCTTGCAGAAACAGACCAGCCTTTGACTACATATACTAAATCCTGCTGTAAAACACCAAGCAGATGGCAGGCGCTTGATTTAGTAATAAACTAAGATGATTAAGATATCATCTGACAATAAACAATAAATTAAAGTTTAGGAAAAGTCTGGTGACGTCCTGTATGTTTCGTGCCAGCAGTTTCAACAAACGCGGACCTGAATCATTCTCAGAGAAACGTTAATCCTACTTTAAATACCCACTGCTACTCCAGAACCATGACATTGTTTTAGAAGGCATTACCAAAAATAACCGCATCCAACTGTTTCGAGAAAAAAAGACTAACTTTTGTGTATCTATATTTAAAAAGGAAAGTTTTCTATTGTGATTAGCTGATGAGATGAACAATTTACAGGAAAATAACTAAAAAACAACAAGCTATGGAGCTTATAGTACAATGCAACACTCTCGAGTCATAACTTATTTCTTTTAAATTTTCCCCAGGCTTTTGGAAGCTTTCTAAAAAAAATTTCCCTGCGGTTCACATTGAAAAAACAAACAATTTTATCAAAAAAAACAACATGATTTTTAAAAGGATATTTAAGAAAAAATAAATCCTTGGCAGATAATCAAGTGAAGGAGCAAACTTTGGCTGCAAACTGGTATCAAACTTTAGAACAGCAGTTTGCAGCTTCAGAAACAGATCACACCGTTCTTACATTTTAAAGCAACTCCATTTTTATTTTATTTTTTTGCAATATGGTGAAACTATTACATACAGAATAAAGGCATTACATATATTATAAATCAACTTATTGACTAACTGATTTTGAGAACCCTCTAACTAATGGTTGTCACCAGCTCTGTTGCATAGCAACCTTGACTGTTGACACACAAGGCAGGAAAAGAAAGACTTTTGAAACAGTTTATTTTTAATTTATTTTCTTTTTTTTCATTGTAAAGTGAACAAAGACTAAACTGAACAAAAAGCAAATGTAATGATATAAACCTTAGTCAGTTAAATGACATGCTGCTGTCATTTGCACATCTCAAAAGTTGCTACAATTTTTTTTATATCCATTACAGTAAAGATGTTCATTGTTGTATATTGGTTGCACAGTTTTTTATATTGTTAAAAGACTTTACAGTACAGTATTTTATGGCTTATGTTTTAACTCTTAATTATTGTGTTATTCTTATACATTTTTCTAAGGTCCACATTTGTGTGACCATTTTTTTCAATAATCTTTTTGCTGCTGTAAACACCAGAATTTCCCCATTGTGGGACAATAAAGGGATTTTATTTTCTATTCTATAAATGGGGTTGAAAGATATAAGATCTCTTATATTCAAAATCTCTTATATTCAACACAAATAAATACTTAGTTTAAGCAAATTGTGTAAAATAGCCAAAATGTTATAACTTTCAACCAATCAGATGACTAAATGATCAAAATACTTGAATTAAAATCAATACATGTATGTCTTGTGCTCATTCAAACATGTATTCAATAACTGAGGAGAAAATGTGTTTTTAATCGAAAAGGTGGTTTATTTAGTCAATATATGTTTTTTGATTAAAATGTAATTAATTGCGATCAGTCAATTACAGGCCCTTGAATCAACTTGATTAAAAATCAAATTTATTCCCACTACTAATTTAAATTAGAAAAGGTTAGATACATTATTTAAATAAGTATCACTCCAGACACACAAACAAAAAGAAAAGAGCAACAGCCAATCGCTGCAATCACAGACAATAGACAGGAACAAAAGGAAAAATCCTGCAAATACCAAAAACACAACTTCAGCTAAAAAAAGCCGCAAGCTTGCTCTATGAAACACAAGTTCACCAGACCACCAAGTCAGATGAGATCTCTGTTCTATATTAATGTTAAACATTACAGCCACTTAAAAACAAACAAACATTTTCTTTCCTCTAAGCTTCCCATTAATGTATTTACTGAGGGTCTGCTCTCTTATGACTTGGCAGTCAACTTCTCCAAGCAGTCTGGTGAGCTGCTGCTTTTTGGAGCGAGGTCACAGCTTTCTTTATTTTGCTGGTTGTAGGTTTTTGCTCTTGTCTTTTGCAGTATTTTTTATGTTTGTGACATTTTGAGCCTTTTGTTTCCACTTTACATCTGTCAGTCTCCATTGTTTCCCTTGACATCACTTCCAGAATTCGATCAACTGCTGTAGATCTCAACATATGACTCCATACAACATGCTACTCAGTAATTTGATGTACTTCCAAGGAGAGATCAGGTGAGGAGTACAGCAATATTTGCATATTTTTAGAAACCACCTTGCTGTGCTTAGCTTATTGAGAGACAATCCTCTTAGTATTTTGATTATTTTATCTATTGCAGAAATGGATTCTGGCTGGAGTGCAGCAGGTAAGATGCTTCGGATCCCAAAGGTTTGAATTTTAATAATAAATCAATGTCTGGATGCTGTGCCTTGGTCCCTCTCTCTCATACTTATAGTCATCGTCTTCCACTTATATGGGACCAGGTCACGGGGGCAACAGCCTTAGAAGAGACTCCCAGACTTCCTCCCTCTCTACATTCACCTCCTTTAGTTCCTCTTGGAGTAGCCCAAGCTGCTCCTGCGCAGGACAAGAGGCATAGTCCAGCGTGTCCTGGGCCGTCCCCTATTCCCCTTCCTAGTGGGACATGCCTGGAACCGCTCCTGATGGGGGCATCCCTAAAAGATGCCCGACCCAGATCAGCGGGCTCCTCTTCATGTGGAGGAGAATCAGCTCCGCTCTGAGCCTCTACTGGATAACCAAACTCCTCCCCCTATCTCTAAGTACCAAGCCACCCTATGGAGAAAGCTAATTTCAGCTGCTTATATCCGAGATCTCTTTAATCAGATTTTATGACCATAGATGAGAGTACGAACATAGACTAACTAGTAAATTGAGAGCTTTGCCTTTTTGCTCAGCACCCTCTTCACTGCAACAGATTTGTGCAGCATCAGCATTAAAAGCAGCAGCTGCACTGATCTGTCCATCAATCTTATTATTCCCTCACTTGTGAACAGGATCACAAAATACAACAACCTCACTTGAGTCAGGAACTCTCCTCCAACCTGCAGGGGACAAGCCACCCTTTTCTGGTTGAGAACCATGACCTCAGACTTGAAGAAGCAGATCTTATTCCTTGCTGCACTTGGCTGTGAATTGCCACAGTGCATGCTGTAGCTCTTGGAAGGAGAAAGCCAACAGAACCACATCATCAGCAAAAAGCAGCTGGTAGACCTGCCTGTCCCCAAACAAGAACACTTCTAGCCATTGGCAGGGAGTGGTGGCAGAGGGCAGCCCTGGCAGAGTCAGTCACTAGAATGAGGTCCAACCGTATGCCAACAATAGAGACCAAACCCTTGCTCTGCTTGTAGGGCCTCTGACTCCATATTCCAGGAACACCCCACACAGTGAATCATGAGGGACCCAGTCACAGAACACATGTGGACCAGTTGAGCAAACTCCAAAGAACCCTCGAGCAACCTAAAGAGGGTGTAGAGCTGGTCCACTTTTCCACGGCCAGGAAGGAAAACACACTGTTCCTCCTGAAGCCGGGATTCAACAATCACCCGAACTTTCATCTTCAGAACCCTGGAATAGACTTTCCCAGGGAGGCTGAGAAGTGTAATGTAATTCCTCTTTTGTTGGAACACACCCTCTGGTCAGTCTTCAACAACCAACCAGGTCAGGGCTACTGTCCCCGACTGCCACCTAATGTTAAAGAGGCGTCCACCGTCACACAATGTCCTCAGTCCAGGTCAGCAGCAAAATCAAGCCATGATAAATTATATTAAATTATAACCTACAGTTTAGAAAACATTAGAAAAACACAATTGGAAACATTTAAAAACATGAATAAAGATTATAGAAACCATCGTTTAACTGGTCCCTGCACCAAAGCCTGGCATTGGACAGTCCATGTGTAATGGCTTTTGTTTGCTCTCTTTAATCAAACAAACATTTTTTTTATGATGAACCTAATGGAGACCACAAGTTTTCCTGCATTTCTTGAGCTTTCCCCTGATCAGGAACAGGTGTAAGTGACTTTCAAAAGCCCTTCTTTAAAAGATTTTAAAAAAATTGGCCATCAGTCTGTTGTTAAAACTTTATCAAAAAGACTGAAAATTATTACTTAACCCTGTCGTAAGGACAGATCTCATATATTACAGAACCACAACAGTGAATCATTATCCAGAATACTCCCTATCTGACTCCACAGCTTCATCACTGATCAAAATAATATAAACTAATTCTGTTTTCAGAATCTCTACTTCCTCAGAATGACTCAAACTTGTAGAACATCTGTGACAGTGACCTTTCTTTTGGAAAGAGTCACCACCCTGCTTCTACAGTGAGCATTTAGCGGTTTGGACAGAAATGATAACGTCGAGCAGCGATGTTGGCAAAGGAGACTCATTAGGGTCGATATGCTGCAGCTGCTACCGCTCAGCAACATGGAGCGACATCTGGGCAAAGTTACCACAGCCACATGGTGGAAATTAACACAACACTGGCTCATGATAGGTTGCAATGAGAACAAGCAGCCCACCATCCTGCGACCTGACTCACGGATCACTGCCTTTACCAGCCCTTGGCTCAAGCTCCTCAGCTCACCCAGAAAAAGAAAAAAGGTTAAAAGGGAAAAGAGGAAAGGAGTGTGGAAAAAGAGAAAAGGAGGAGAAATAAAGAAATTAAATGGATGATGGGTTTTACTAACCAGGTTCGCCTTTCTTTCCGATCCGTCCACGTTTTCCTGGAGGCCCTGCAGAGACACACAGAGAGAGGAATTACTCTTAAAAATTTCCCATCAGGGACAAGAAAAAAGCATTTCAAGAATTAATTAGTTTGGCTTTAGTGATTCCAGAACATATGAAAACAACTTTTAAAGAGAAGTGCTGAATTTACAACATCAGTTTTATGATAAAAAACTTTCCCACGCTGGAGCACAGTCCGTTGCTTCCCTTTAACCCTCGCATGATACAACTCGAAACTCTGCCTTCCTGCTAAAAAGATTTCTGTTGCTGATGGAGGAGGGAAGCAGTGATAAATAGCAGGAGTGCTGCAGAGGGACTGAGAAATAAATGATTTACCCCCGGAGCCAACGTCAATCTCAGACCACATGCTGCTGCCGACCATGAATCACCTCTAAACAGACGCTGATGTGCATCAAATTCTACCTTGTTACAATACAGTCTATGTTATTTAAGGCGAATTCACTTGGAGACAGTTTTGTGAGAACTGTACAGTAGCAAGTCAAAAAATTGCAGCATGTGGAGGGGCTGCAGAAAAAAAGGTTGCTCAGGCAAAGAATGAGCTAAACAATGTATTTTCTCTAGCAAAGTGAGTCACAGCAGTGAAGCTGACAGCTTCACCCTGTCTGGCAGAACATAATTAGCCAAGCAAATCTGCGTCTGGTTACCTTGGGAAAAAATCTGCTTCTAATAGATAAAACAGCATCGTTAGATCCTAAAAACTAATGATAACACTGATGGAGGGCTTTCATAGCATCTTACTGTTTTTTTTTATTTTTATAAATGGTTACTCTAAAATTTTTTACGGTAAATAAAAAGGAATCTCTGTGAAGATTTCATTAGCTTTAAAACAGATTTATTTGACCAATAATGCGGCTAGTCATGCTCACTAACAGGCAGCATGCGGCTGAATTAACACTGACCCCCGTGCTTACACAGGTGGATGCAAAACTGGGCTTTATTCCTGAGTATACAGCATTAAAAAGGGCTTATTTCTAAAAGCTTAGGAATTTTAATGATCTTGATCTGGAAACATTGTCTGCCTAAATAATCATTAAACCAATGCATATGCAGTCATTTTAGTTCATATTACTTTTTTATTTTTTTTATTTAAATTATATCTCTTAGCACTAAATCTTTCTAAACAGCACTGCTATTATATAGCAGCCCTTTAAAGTGAAAGTTAACCATTTTAAATCAACTCTTTCATTCATTTTCCATATACCATAGGCCTTTAAAAACCTAAACAAGAGAGAACAATATAGACATTTATCCCATGATAAAAAAAATAGTGGCTAAATTAAAAACACTTTTTTGTGCTTCCATTCTGAACCCGTAAAAAACATTTCACAATCAACATAACATAACATAACATAACATATAGATGTTTCTTTTGGTTTTAGTTATGTGTAGTCATGGGCCAGTTACAGGTTTCAAGGTATACCATTCCTCCAATATAAATTGTTTGTTAAAGAAATATCACCTGAGAATGCTCAGATTGTAAACTCCTGCAGCATTACTACCCCTCCGCCTGTAATCCCCTATAGTAGCTAGATCTACACATTCAGGTTACATGATATAGGAGGGAGGAACACCCAAACTTTTTCATGCTTTGGCCATTTCAGCCTGAAGACTGATTATGTCTTCAGAACTGCCTTAATCCTTGCTGTTATATATTCAAAAGGGTACTGGAAACATTCATCAGCGACCTTAGCCTTATTAATGTGTTGGCATCACATAGATAATGCAGATTTGTCGGCTGCACATCCATGATTCCAATCTCCCTTTTCATCACATCCCAAAGGTGCTCTGTTGGAATGAGATCTGGTGTTTGTAGAAACCTTTAATTATAGCAAACTCATTGCTGTCAAGCAGTCTGAGATGTTTTTTGTTATGGCATGGTGTATTATCCTGCTGGAAAGTCATCAGATGATGGATACACTTTGATCATAAAAGGATGGACATTGTCAGTAACAATACTCAGTAGGTTTTGGCATAACACAAGTGTGGCAAGAAAATATCCCTCACACCATCACACCACCATTAAAAGCATGCTTTCGTGTTGTTTAATGGTTTCATAATTAGAGAAAAGCAGACATGATAGAAAAGTTGACTGAAGAGCTAGGAAATGTTTGATAAAACACTGACTTAGTGCCTGCACAGATGCACCCCCTATGATGACATACCTGATTCAAGAGTGCTAAAAAAGAAATCACCTATTCAATAATGCCTTTGGTTGAACCTTGGTTTTTTTTGTTTATTTTTGCTTATATGTTAGTATTGATTTTTTTTCATTATAAAAATGCCACATACAAAAAAAATCAAAAAAACACTAAATAAAGATTTTAGCATAAACATTGCAATAGTTAAAAAACGTAATCTTTAACGTAAAGTGATGGATTTTTATCTGTTCCACAATCTTTGCTTTTGTTTTACACTCTATCATAGATATTTTGACATGATTTTTATTTCCATGTTTACTATTCAATGTTTACATGTCAGAATTTTATTGCCTTTTAAAATGTCATTGTTGATGTTCTGCTTCCCTCTCTAAACATTTGCCTTCCCTCAGTTCATTATCTGCTGCAATTGTTTGATATGTCAAACTTTTTTTTTTATTGACCATTTCTGTTTTCTTTTATGCTGTTCCCTTTGTTTTCGTCATGGATGAAGGCAGAGAAAATTAGAATTACTTTGGTTTTACTTTTTGGATCCTGTTATATTGACTTTTTTTAAATCAGTGTTTGTATCCACAAATGTCGTCTACTTTGATTCAGTGGCTAATAATAACTAATAAAATCAATCATCAAAACAGTCTTCAGGGAGTCCATGACATCAACAAGAACTGCTGCAAAGTTAAAGACTTTTTCTGAATTGTTGGAAAGTTTGCTGATAGAAAAAGCACCAATCGCTCTGGAGTTTGTGAAAACATAAACTCCAGAGTCAGAAGGCTAACCCATTTCACCCCATCTGCTGCAGGCAGACAAGCCCTGATGGACGTCTTGATAGCGAGACAAAGTGAGTACCCTTCCCTTGCTACAAAAGCTGCATACTTACAGTTTCCTTTTACAAAGACCTATATATGTGAGAAAGGATTCTCAACTCTCGCCTTGACTAAATGTGAACTCAGAAGCAGCCTAGATGCAGAAGATGGACTGAGACTGAAGCTGTTCTTAAATGATCCAGGCATTACATAACAATGCTAAAAAAGCCAAGCCATTTCATTAGCTAACCTGAGAATGAAAGTATTTCTTTTGCCAACATTATTTATTATGGTTGAACTGAACTACTACTATCGTTCCTACAGTAGTTACTGACTACGTTTTTTTTTTCTTCTTTTTTTTGTGGTGCAGTTCATATTAACTACTGTTACTGATATTCTTTTTGCTGAATCATTTTCTACAGATTGGGTCAGATTATTTGTGTAGTGCATTTATAATAGTTATGTGTTGCGTGTTTTTTTTGTAAAACCATTTGTAGGGGAGACCGGGGCTAGTTGTCACACGGGTAAGTTGTCACATTGCAATTATCTTCTCCACCAGAGGACGCAACTAAAAAGTGGAATATTAGTTTTCTTCCTTTGCATGGTCAGGTCTCACAGACTGAGTAAAAAGAGGACAAGACGTTGTAATTCGAGATGAGCACCAATTGACCATTTTACACTACCCAAAGTAAAAAATATTAACTCTATATTATTTTAAATAACCTTCATTCAGATAAGAAATCTTGCAGTTAAACATATGGATTTGTTAAAGTAGATATTAAGGCATACAGTCATACCTCAATCATTGTTGTGATTTAGCCTAACGTTAAGCTAGTGCAATAATTAGCTAACATGGTCATTTGTGGCAACTTGTCACAGTCATTTTGGGGTAAATTGTCACATATGCAAAGGATGGGCACATGAAGAATGCACACCTGGCAATTCAGTCTACATATGCCAAAACTGTAACTCAGATGAGGATTGTGACTAATAAATTCAGGTTTTTTTGGGTTTTCCTTTGTCCCAGAATCAGTTTTATAATCAATGTTTTATAATCAATGTTTCATAATATTTCATTTTATTTCATGTTATTTCATAAGATGCATGTGCTCCTGCCAATTCAACCTACATAAGCTATGCCCAAACTGCAGCTCAGTTGAGGAGTCTGACTCGTGAAATTTCCTTTTGTTCATGCACCAGTTAAAGTTTTGTAATGCTTGTTGCATTTTATTTCATAAGCAGTAAAAGTTATTTATTGTCATTTGTTCGCTTAACATTAAAAAAATAACAACAAAATGAATTTTTGCCATTATTTTATTGGCTGCAAAACCCAGTGTGACATCTTACCCCATATAATGTGACAACTTACCCTGTGGAGGGGCAACTTGTCACATAGTAACAATCTCCATTAGATCGCTTATAACTCTGCACAGTAATAAGATATAAAAATGACCTGAATACAAAATATATACCTGAGACTTTGGTCTTTCATCTGATACATATGTTTTTTATATACCGGTAAGGTGTTCTGATTCCAATATTTTTATATGAATGTAAAAAGTGTGACAACTAGCCCCGGTCTCCCCTACTTTTTAGGTGTAATATACTGCAAATTACAGTATTTGTAGGTGTGGAGGTAAAAACAATGAACATTTAAACTTTACATAGTAGGCTGTTGTGTCTCTAATGCCTTATATTACATATGTTTTCAGATAACAAAGGTTTGAGAACCCCTGTAACAAACTATGGGAACAGAAAAGCAGGAGAAATACCATGAGAGAATATATTGGACTCATCCAACACATTCCCACTATCTTCTTCCACCTCTGCATACAGACTCCATCCATCCATTTTCTTTACACGCTTAATCTGCTGCTGCTATCTCCAGCTGTCAATGGGCGAGAGGAGGGATACACGCTGGACAGGTTGCCAATCCATCGCAGGGTGATACAGAGACAAACAATGATGCACACACTTGCACCTAAGGATAATTTAGAGAAGCCAATTAACCTAACAGTCATGTTTTTG